AAGATATATGAAGAACATTTATTGAAATGCTTCTTAGCGCAATGTGTTTAAGCAGGTAATAAGTAATCTATCACATTTATTTTGTCTGTTAATTAAACAGAAGCTATTAACATGACACTTCAAAATAGCTATCATTTATGTAAGACATTTATAGTTTCAAAGCACTCCATGTCTATTATCTTAGTGATTCTTAAAACAACCTTCTAAACTATGTGACTATTGCCTCCATATGGCAGATTGGTGAGGGAGGATGAGGCCTCCCAGATCACATACTTCTCTAGCATGTAACACAAAGAACAGTATAATTATACAAATTGCTCTGTAATTGGCAGCTGTGTCCTTTCTTTTTGGACAAGGGAGTAGGTCTAGCGGCTACGAGCATTTTATCCAATGCTACATCAGAGCAGAAAAGAGAGTTTGTCACATCCCCCATCACCAATTGCTACAGTTGATAAGATTACTGGTGGTACACTCTGCATAGCACCAAACTCTCTGCTTTGCCACAGCACAGGATCAAGCATCAATAATGCTGATTATTGGAAAGGTTCAGAGGAAGACCCATGTTTAAATGCAGAAGGGGCCCAGGTTGCATCTGTGGCATCTTTAAATAGCGAGATAAAAAGTATTCTGTGTTAAATTCCAGAAACCTGCCAATCTAGTAATATAATAGTGATTTAAATGAACCAACAGTCGGACTCCATCTTTCTTTCTCAAGGCTCTCAATCAAAATTATACAGCTTTACCTAGGACTAGCTATTAGATCTGGGCTGCAAAAACCCAGACAACCTCCAGATAGAAGCAACAAGTTTTCTCTGTGCTGCTACCTGAGGGCAGCCCAGACCTAGTAGCCCTACTCGTATCTATATCTTACCTCTGATCATTTCTCAAACAGTAATCTTCTAAATGCTTGCTTCCATGAGCAGTACTGAGAACTAGTGCTTACACGAATAAAACATAGTAATTAAAAAGAAAAAAACCCTATACTTGGCATGCTAATGTGTGTAAAACAGCCTTAACACTTAAAAAGAAAAAAACCCCAATGTTTGGGAAACATAGCAAAGGAAGAACCAGGTAAATAAACTCCAAACAGTCACAATAATAAGACTTCCAGTCCAAACAGAATCCAAAATCTGATGTAGGGACATGTATATTAATAAGACACCCCCCCCCCCAGTAGCACCCATTGTACTTTCTGTTCTAATACCTCTCTTCTTTCAAACTGCTTCCCATTATCTTTTAAAAAACGCTGGTGTATCGTGCTTTTATATGTCATGTGTAGCTTGCATCTCAGAATGGATGATGCAAAGTCCACGGTTCAAATTTTATCTCAGCCATGCATTTAACCAATGGCTTCAGTGGCAAGTTAATGATTCACAGCCATATGTAACTTCCTTCTTAGATTTTGTTTTGTTTCTTCGGCTAGGGAGCAATACCTAAGTGACCTTGGTGAATCTCAAAATGCCAAGCAGAACTGGAACCAGAGGGCAAAGATGTCCACAGGATCTGCTGTATTTGTCAAAATGATGAAAGTTAGTGTCAACTGCAAGCGCTGGCTCTTTTGTAAGTCCCAAATGGGCAGGGCTTTTGGCACACCAGTACAAAACTGGGAAGATGAAAAAGCATCCCAGAAGGGGCTAACCACTCCAACAGGGCTGCCAAGAAAACTAAGTGCCTGTGCCCATGGTCGCCAGGCTTGACTCAAAAAAGCCTTAACCTGCCAGCTCTTCAAGGTAGGCCAGGTCAGGAAAGAGACAAAAGTTCTTTCTCACTCCTTCCCGTCTTTCCAATCTAAGCCAGTGTTTTTGTAATTACTGTTGCATACCTTCTTAAAAGCTATCTCCATATTACATTTTTCTTTGTTTTTATCTAGGTTGATATGTGAATGCAGCCATTATAGCAGCCTTTCTCAAATGGCCCTCTGTGAGAGGTCACTAGGGGTTTCACAAGACAGCATGATTAGGGGTGGGGAAGCATCTTTTTTTTCTAACACTGTGTAATGCTAGTGCTCAGTGTGGTGGGAATGTTTATGCATCACAACCGAGCTGCCAGCCTGCCTCTTTGCTGCGGCTGTAAATGTTGTTTCAGCCCCACTAGATAGACCAGACCATGAAATCAATTCTACAGGAAGGGTAAAACTATTCTTATTGAGGTTGGCTATAATACAGAATCTAAGTCTGATTGTGCAGCCCCTCCTTCTCACAGTTCAGCAAATTAGGGAGGTGTCTGCCTAAGCCGCTTCCAAATGTTATCTGGACATACTGGACTTAAAAAAATGCTTTAGCCCTTTTTGCCTAGGCAACAACTTCTGCATATCTCCACCAAGGTCATCTTTCTTACTCTCTACACATTGTAAAATGTGGATTATGTAGAAGTGAATTGTTAAGTTTTTGCATTTTTTGGTGATTTTTATGCAGGGGTTCCTTGAGACCTGAAAATTATTTCAAAGGTTCCTTCAAGGTAAAAAGGTTGAGAAAGGATGCATTATAATATAGCATTACTTGTGAACCACACTATAGGTAGCTCAATCAGTCATGTTTTTAGAAACTCTGGATTTGAATTGTTCTTGCCTACATCTGGGACTAAGTACCAGTCTCATCCCGTTTTCTACTTTTTGAGGCTCATGTTATCATTTCTGCTGTCATTTAGCCCAGAACTTCCACTGGATTCTTACAGGTCACTGAGCCATAAATTTAATGTAGTATTTCTGCACCGCTGTTATGTTATTATTAAACTGTTTTAAATTATCTTTTATGTAGACTTTAATGATATGTTACAGTTGTAGCATTCCTGTGAACTACTAAATGTATTAAAGAGTGATATGCAAAAAAAGTGCTATAAATATGAACCTCTCTGAGCACTGAAATCCACTATGTAAGTGGTACTATTGTTACTGACTCAGGGGAATATGATGATTTAAGTTTATGAATAAGAAATGGTTGACCTAACTAAAGTAAAACTAACTATAGTAGCTGAAATCGAAGGGATATTTGCAGGAAAGAGCCAGTGTAGGTTTACTTACATACTAGTCCACACCTTGAAAGTACTAAGTTAGAAAAATTAACACTGGGAAATTCATTGGTCATTTTGGGGCATAGGATCCCTATCTCATCTATGCTTTCATGAGCTCTTTATGTACCAGTTTAATTTCTAATGTTGCATAAAAATCTACTGTGTGAGGAAACATTGCACAAAACACAGCATAGATAGCAAATTATTCATGTATTTTTCTATAGGTTCTTCCTTCTTGAAAAACACTTGGGGAGGAAGGGAGGAATAGCTCAAAATAGCTGCTTGAGACAGAATATCCAAGTTGAACCCTTTGTTTTTACCACCTGCATAGTAGTAAAAACAAATAAATAAAAGGATAGTCTTTAATGCCTGAATTTGCTATATAGGGTGAGTCAACTCCCACTTCCTAATAACAGGATTGGCCTTGGGAGACAATCCTCAATGTTTCTAAGTGAGAGGCAACAGCTAGAAATTATAGCCTATGAAGTTAGTCTTAGGTGAAAGCCTTACATGCCACTCTTTTGGTTTAAATGGTCTGTGGTTCTCACTAAGTTATCAGCCTAATAAAGACTGAGGCCTAGATGTAATCTTAATTAATTCCAATGGGATGTATTTCCAGCCAAGCTTTAAAACCACAATTTACTTAAGTACAAAGTATTTAAGTTTCACAGAGGAATCTAGCATTCTTTCACAATCAATTGTGCAAATGCTCTGAGGAAAGTTGGTATGACAGAAAAACAAATCTACAAATGATTTTTCTTACTTTAATAAGAAACGGAAGATGAAAAAACACATTAATCTGGGATAAATCAACAGATGTTATCCTGCAAATATATACAACTTCTGTTAATTGGGGGGGTCATACTGTGGAGGGGGCCAAGACTCATTTTTAGATGGGATTTCAAGAGTTTTAAGGGATGATATGGGAGCCTTAAGCCTCCCTAAGCCTTATGGCACCCATTTTGGCTCTTGTACTTCCAAATGTAAAAAGGGTACCACAATGTTGACCCCACCTACTCTGGGGCCCACAAAAGGAATGGTGGCAGGACATGTGCGGTCTTCTGACTACCCTTCTGGCAACCCTGAGATATATAAAACAAATCCATCTATATTTTCCCATTTTATAGGGATCCAGAATTCTGGTTTGGTTCCTGAAGGCTGAAGAGTTTAAGCAGCAACAGATAAACAATCCAGGCTTTCTCTCTCATTAGAGATTCCCCATTTATTTATGAAGGAAAGTTAAGAAAGTAAACAAATCTCAGAATTCATGAAGCATGCTCTTCGGTTATCTCCTGCTATTACTGGCTATTAAGAATAATCATCTAGGGATTCTGGCTGTTGACAGTTTCTCATTTATAAACAACTTATTTTGGGAGCAATCTCCTTCGAAGCCTTTCAAAGAGAAATTCACATTGGGATCCTTCAGCCTGCAAGTCAACACACCCTTACTTGGAACTAAGAGCCTCACCTAAAGTTGAACAACTTGTTTCATAAATCAATTAATTTCAAGTCAATATGCTTTTTACAGAATTAATACGAACAACAAAGAGATTTAGAAAACAAAGATAGCCAAGCTTAAACATCGGGTTTTTGCATCATCCTAACCAGCGTGTCCACGGAAAGCGCCGCTGAATTCAAAAAAATTCCTATGCAAACATCCACAATATTGCACTCTCAGTAATTACTCACTGTTCTACTTGGATTTAAGATCTGCGCTTTCCCCCCAATGCTTAGTCAGAGCTGCTCTAACAGCTGCAAGCCTGCAGAAAAACCTCCACTGCCACACGGAAAACTCCGCAAGAATCTAACTTTGGCCGTGCAGCTGTCAAAGGGCAACGAAGCTCTTACGAGACCACAACCAACTTCAAACAGCGCTGAAAGGGAGGAGGAGCGCTGCACAGCAAAGCCTGAGATCAAAGCTGATCCAGGTAGAGTTCCACCCCCGAAGCGACACAAGCGGCCACCCCACCTTTTCCTCCCGGCCACGTTACCCTCGCTCAGTTGCTCTGCAGCTGCCACGAATCCTCGCCCGCAGGAGCGGCCACCGCGCCGACAGCGCCAGCCGGGGTCCAGCAATCCCCTCCCCACTAATAATACCAACGCGACTGCTCCTTCTCCTCTCCCGCGCGCTCGGCACAGCGTATCCCTCCGCTCAAGACCGAGCGTTCGGAAGCGGCGGCGGCGGAGGGATCCTCGCGAGCGCAGGCTCCGCGGTACGGCAAAGAGCGAGCGGCAGCCCGCACTCTTTCGGCTGCTCTCCCCCTTCCCCGTGCATCTCCCCCTCCTGCGCCTCCCGACGCCGTTCCTTGCTGCGGGGCCGGTTGGGCGCTGCCTGGTGGCCTCGGCTCCGGCTCTCTGTGGGAAACGGC